CACTTTAAACTGAGTTTCTTATCTCAAAACTTCCTCTCAATGTAGTTGTTTTGACAGCTGGAGTGTCTGGGCTAACTACTAGCATAAGAAGTTAAACTACCCTCAAACTGTTTTATAGTTAAAATGCTCTCTTCTGCTCCTTTCAAAGAAGGCAATCACTGAGTAGCATTGGGTGCAGTGATTGGCTGAGAGCATCAGTGGACAATCTCAGCCAATCACTGACGCCCAATGCTTCAGTAGATATGCCGCATGGAAACATTCATGAATTTAATTATGCGTTATTTTATTGAGAGGAAAACAACCTTGCAATAGCTACAGATCTCTTGTCTGAAGCCTTTGCAAGCTCTCCCCTTCCAACCCCGCCAAGCCTTTCTGTGCAGCTCAAAGAGAAGCCTTTGCAACGCACGTGTTCTGGACAATTGCTGCCTCTTGAGTTTAGCTCTACTGAGCTAACCAAACCAGGAAGTAATAGTTATTTGATTGACAGCCAGGATGTGTAACAAGATAAATTTGTGTAACAAGTTCCAATGAATGTGTAACAAGTGCCAATTTTTGTTAAAAGGACACATTATTCACACATAAAGCACATAAACAAGCTGAAGTCCTTTAGGGGTCTGGATTATCTCTTTAACCCCTTAAGGACCAAACTTCTGGAATAAAAGGAAATCATGACATGTCATGTGTCCTTAAGGGGTTAAAGGAATCCTATAGGCGCCCAGACGATTTAAATTTTAAGAAACTGCTCTGGGTACCATGCCCACCCTGTTTTAACCGTGCAGCTGAAAAAATGGCAACGCTGCAGGAATGGTAATGTTTTCATTGCAGCGTTAACCTGCCTCTAGTTGCAAATCATACTGACAGCCACTAGGGAGGCAGGGCACTTCCACCAAAATAGGGAAGCAAAACTCCACTATTCAATCAGATGGACTCAATGTGACCATTGCGCACTAGCACATGCGCACTTGTCTCCCGGTGCTTTACTATTGGAAATCATTGATCATATTTACTAAAACCAAATAACTCAGATTAGACATGTCATAGTGCTGGGATTGATACTTAGCCTTGCAAAGGCCACTGAAGCTCAATTATACATTGCAGAACCTTTGCATAAAGATTTAATCTGTGTACAAAGTCCTTTAACCCCTTAAGGACACAGCTTCAGAAGCTGGACATACCCTTAAGGACACAAGCAATTTTTGCATTTTTTGCTGTTTGTGTTCAACTGCAATTTGCATCTCTCTCATTTATTGTACCAACACATATTATATACCTTTTTTAGACAACAAAAAGGGCTTTAATTTGATGTGACCTATGCATGTATAAATTCTCATTTATTAAAAAAAAAAATGCAAAATAATGTGGAAAAAAAACGCTTTCCCCCCACGTTTTGGCAATAATAATGTGTGCATAATATGTCCAGCTTAGGAAAAGTAATTCAAAATCAATTCGTTTATGTGTCTTGATTTACAAAGTACATAATATGTGTAGGATTTCAGTTTATTTTGAAAGTTGCAGGTCACAAACTACAAGGTCTAAAATAAAATTTCAATGTGAAACAATTTTAGAAGTTGGTATGTCTTGGAAGTTTAATACCCATCACTGAAAACAAAATTGCCACACAAAAGTATATATTTATATAAAGTAGACATCACAGGCTATTAACCTAAGGTTAGTTTGACACTTTTTGCTTAGCCATTTCACCGCCAATCTCTGCTAAATATTGGAGTAAAATTGTGTTTTTTCTCTATTTTGGCATATACACATATAACAAGGTTTTTGTAATGTGTATTTTGTAAACCTAGTGTGTGCTATCCCTGTACAGAACCCCATATTGTGTTCAGCTACATCTGCTGTGTAAAACGATACCCCCATTGTATAACCTGGCTCCTATTCAGTGAAGCAACAATGCCATATAGGAGACCATGCTATTTCAGTTTCTATAGTTGGAATTTTCATAGATGGTCATAAGTCTGATTTTGTGGCATTATAGCCATTTGACTGTTCAAATAACCCCAAAAGGACTTCCATTTGAGAAAGCAGACACTCCAGGGTATGTTATTAGGCATATATTATACCTTAACTTGTTTTCACCAATTTATTTCAAATTTTGTGGTGAGAATTTTTTTTACATACATGTTGCATTTTCGCTGGGTATTTCTTACATTTGATAAGTGCCACTGTCATAAATTCCCCCTGAGTATGCTCAGTTACCTCTTCTGAGTAAAACAATAAGCACAATGTATGACCCAGACACTATTTTGTGAAGTTACAGTGTTGTGAAAGAGATGTGATAAGTTCAGGTTTTTAAGTGTGAATTTACATGGAGAGTTTTAATTGGTCCGTATTCTATTTTTAAATATGTTAGCAGGCTGTTTTTTCCAACTACCCCAAAAAGGCATACTATTTCTTAAAGAAGACGCCCGAGGGTATTTCAAAAGGCAAATTTTGAATCTTAGCGTGGGATAATTTTGCTCAGCTATGCTGTCTGAGTACAGCAATACCCCCGTATGTACCTTTGACAGGTATGTAGTAGATTATTTTCTGCAAACCAGTTAGTTTGAATGACTATCTGTTCCTGTCCAAATTAAAGATAATAAAGTTGCGTGCACGCAGAAGTAAATTCACACTGAGACACAGGGTTCAGGTTAATGAAAGAACTTCGGAAAAGTTTAATGGCTTCTAACAGAAAATGGGTGCGCAGACCCTTATAAAGGCATTTTTACATCACTGAAGAATTCAAGATAACAGCAAATAATCATTAATAATTGGTCCAGGTGTTAAGTGGTTAGTTAGATGCCCTCCCATCAAGAGGTGATGTCATCCTTGACACGGGAGTGGACACAAGATGTAGGCGCCATCTTATTAGCACGAGGTGTTCACTCGATGGGAGGGGTGCTTTGGCAGCCATTTTGAGTAGTTAGTATTGTTAGCTTCAAGGTTCTTTTAGTAAATACACATTTTATTATTCAGCACATTTCTTCCTGCCAAAGCATTAATTTAGATAATTTCAAGAATTCTATAATTCTACAACAGGTATATGGGGACATTGAAGGGGCACATTTCAGACACAGCCATTGCAGGTTTTTTCAAACTTTGAATTTTTACGCTGTGTTGTTACCCCACTTTGGAGTTTTTTAGCAGGCTATATATTCCAACTATCCCATAAAAGCATACTTTTTCTTAAAGAAGACATCCCAGGGTATTTCAAAAGGCATATTTTGAACCTTAGTGGGGGATTATATTTGCGCTAGCTTGTACCAAGTGTAGTGGTAATAAGCATTTTTTCTGCTTTTTTGACACACACCGTGAGTTTGTACTGTGTATTTTGCAAACCTTATGTGTGCTACAGCTATATAATACTTCCTATCTTGCTCAGCTATGTCCAGGGCCGTCTTTAACGCGGGGCAAACGGGGCAGTTGCCCCGGGCCCAATTACTCCTGGGGGCCCAAGGCAGCTGTCCCGTGGGCCCCACTGCCCTAAAAAAATAAAATGTTTCCCGGCCGCTTTAGGGCCCCCCCCGCACTGTAAGGAGTCCCACCGGGTGGCCCATGCACTTAGGGCCACCCGGTGGGCTTGTACCAGCAGGGGCCCGGTCGGGCGCTGTGGCCCTTTAACAGCGCGACCGGGCCTCTTGCTTTTCGGCACCGCTGGGAGGAAGTGAGTGCCAAGCGTCACTTCCTCCCATAAAGAGCTGCTGCGCGGGAGAAGAATGACCTGTACGGGAGGGAGGAGGAGGCAGTGAGGATGGGGGCTCCTCACTCACATCATCCTCAGGCAGCACACTGGATCCCAGGGATGCCACCCTCCAGCAAAAGGTAGGAAACTGGAGGGTGGGCTTAAAATGTAAATTTTACATGTATATCAGTTTGTCTGTCCATGTATCTGTGTGTGTCAGTATATCTGTGTGTATGTGTGTCAGTATGTCTGATAATGTATGTGTCTGTGTGTGTCAGTATGTCTTTGTCTGTGTGTGTGTGTCAGTATGTCTGACAGTGTGTCTGTGTATGTCAGTATGTCTGATTGTGTATGTGTCTGTGTATGTCAGTATGTCTGTGTGTGTGTCAGTATGTCTGACAGTGTATGTGTCTGTGTATGTCAGTATGTCTGATAGTGTATGTGTCTGTGTATGTCAGTATGTCTGTGTGTGTGTGTGTGTCAGTATGTCTGACAGTGCATGTGTCTGTGTATGTCAGTATGTCTGATAGTGTATGTGTCTGTGTATGTCAGTATGTCTGTGTGTGTGTGTGTGTGTGTGTGCCAGTATGTCTGACAGTGTATGTGTCTGTGTATGTCAGTATGTCTGTGTGTGTCAGTATGTCTGTGTGTGTCTGTGTATGTCAGTATGTCTGATAGTGTATGTGTGTATGTCAGTATGTTTGACAGTGTCTGTATCTGTGTGTGTGTCAGAAGGTCTGTGTGAGTGTATGTCAGTATGTATCTGTGTGTCAGTATGT